GTCGGTATACGAAGCATAAAGAATCGGATATGCATGGACTATGCGAGTATTACTAGTAGGTAACCATCTTATACGTTCTTGTACCTGAATCCCGTTTTCTTCCCTGATTGGCAATCGGAACAGGAAACTATGATTCGCAGTTCAATTTGACTGGAACTCCAGATTTTCGGACACTCCGGACTTGCCACCTCCACGGGGTTGCGGGAGAACGGCACAGAGAGATGCCTTCATATGCCAGTCTATCACAAGAATTACTGAAAGTGGCACAGGACCTGGAAAGGCGGAACTCGGTTAGCAGAGGAACTCGGCAGCGAGTTACGGAAGATCGCCCCAGATGAAACAGAGGAACAACTGGTCATTACCGGCTGCACCTTCAGGGCTCAAGGGCCTCCGCCGCCACTTTCCATCGTCTCTCAGCCAAGCCAGGGCCGAAGTCCCCTTCCGAACCAGACGCCATCTCGGTCAACGGTCGGCCAATGGGAATTCCCCACTACGAGGGAAGGCAATAGTAGTACTGAGTATAATAGATAAATAAAAGGAGAGAGATAGACCGTCAGGATGCTCTGACTATTACTTTGACTTCAATTTTAGAGTTGTACTACACATCCTCCCTACGTTTCTTGTTTCCTCGGAAGGTTTGAGTCACAGATCGTTGTCTTTGGAAACCCTCCGGCAACCGCTCTCTTAACTAGCGATACTTCCCATATCAAGCGGCAGTGTCTAGTAGTAGTCTAACACTACTATTGCCAACAGACTCACAGTGCTACTGTGTAGTAATATCAGATCGTGTGTCTCGACCCTGATACGAGAGATCTGATAAGTCCTCAACAAATCGGAGTAGCAGAAGGAGAACAAGTTGTTGGAGTACTACTGGTCCGTGTGAGAGACCCGGACAGGATCAGCATCTCCGAAACCGAGCCTCCGAGGCGAAAAGGCCACCATCGCCTCAGGCTGCCACCACCTCTGCTCTTTCTCTTGTCTCGCTCTCTTTCTCCCTCTCGTGTCCGTCGATCGTCCACTTCCGCTTCCCGGCTCACGCCCCCCAAATTATGCGGTCTGCTTAGCAGTGGGTTCGGCGCCTCTGTTCTTCCTGAATCACACCACGGCTTACTTTCTTATCCTCTTCCTTCTCCTCTTTTTCCTTTCTTCTTCTGTTTTCCACCCTTTCTTTCTTTTTCTTGTTTACCCCCCCAATAGCGTCATTCTTTCTTCCCGTTTTATCCTTTGGCTTCGGGGACGCCGCCACCTTATCTCGGTTCCTGCCTCGGTTCCGGTGATCGCACCTGGGACAGGCTAAGCGTAAGGAGGTGTGACATTCTTCTTTCACCTCCTCTCCTTTATCCGCCTCTCCACTCCATTCAATCCCCGCTCCACCCTTTAAGTATCAAATTGGGGCCTTTCGCTTCGCGCCGCTGAACAGCCTCACCATGGCGCAACTCGATACCCTCGATCTGGTGGTCCTGGCGGTGCTTTTGGTGGGTAGCGTGGCCTACTTTACCAAAGGCACCTACTGGGCAGTTGCCAAAGACCCTTATGCCTCCACCGGCCCCGCGATGAACGGCGCGGCCAAGGCTGGCAAGACTCGGAACATCATTGAGAAAATGGAAGAAACGGGCAAGAACTGTGTTATTTTCTACGGATCGCAAACCGGAACCGCCGAGGATTACGCCTCCAGACTGGCCAAGGAAGGATCTCAGCGATTCGGCCTCAAGACCATGGTCGCTGACCTCGAGGAATACGACTATGAGAACTTGGACCAATTCCCGGAGGACAAGGTTGCGGTTTTCGTGCTCGCCACCTACGGAGAGGGCGAGCCTACAGATAACGCTGTCGAGTTTTACCAGTTCTTCACCGGCGACGACGTTGCTTTTGAGAGCGGCGCTTCTGCGGACGAGAAACCTCTGTCCAAGCTGAAGTACGTTGCTTTCGGTCTGGGTAACAACACTTATGAACACTACAACGCCATGGTTCGTCAGGTCGATGCTGCTTTCCAGAAGCTCGGCGCTCAGCGTATTGGTTCTGCTGGTGAGGGTGATGACGGTGCCGGTACGATGGAAGAGGATTTCTTGGCCTGGAAGGAGCCTATGTGGGCCGCACTGTCTGAGTCAATGGACCTGCAGGAGCGCGAAGCTGTTTACGAACCCGTGTTCTGCGTCACTGAGAACGAGTCCCTGAGCCCCGAAGATGAGACGGTCTACCTTGGAGAGCCCACCCAGAGCCACCTTCAGGGTACTCCCAAAGGCCCGTACTCTGCGCACAACCCCTTCATCGCCCCTATCGCCGAGTCCCGTGAGCTTTTCACCGTCAAGGATCGCAACTGTCTGCACATGGAAATCAGCATCGCGGGAAGTAACTTGTCCTACCAGACTGGTGACCACATCGCTGTTTGGCCCACCAACGCTGGTGCCGAAGTGGATCGGTTCCTCCAGGTTTTCGGTCTCGAGGGTAAGCGTGATTCGGTTATCAACATCAAGGGTATCGATGTTACGGCCAAGGTCCCGATCCCGACCCCCACCACGTACGATGCTGCTGTTCGGTACTATATGGAAGTCTGCGCCCCTGTGTCCCGTCAGTTTGTAGCCACTTTGGCCGCGTTCGCTCCGGATGAGGAAAGCAAGGCAGAAATCGTGCGTCTGGGTAGCGACAAGGACTATTTCCACGAGAAGGTCACCAACCAATGCTTCAACATCGCCCAGGCTCTTCAGAGCATTACGTCTAAGCCTTTCTCTGCTGTTCCGTTCTCCCTGCTTATTGAAGGCATTACGAAGCTGCAACCTCGCTACTACTCGATCTCCTCGTCTTCTCTTGTCCAGAAGGACAAGATCAGCATCACGGCCGTTGTGGAATCTGTTCGCCTGCCCGGTGCCTCTCACATGGTGAAGGGTGTGACTACGAACTACCTTCTCGCGCTCAAGCAGAAGCAGAACGGCGACCCTTCTCCCGACCCTCACGGCCTGACTTACTCCATCACTGGTCCTCGGAACAAGTACGACGGTATCCACGTTCCCGTGCATGTTCGCCACTCGAACTTCAAGCTGCCCTCTGACCCCTCTCGGCCCATCATCATGGTTGGACCTGGTACTGGTGTTGCTCCTTTCCGTGGGTTCATCCAGGAACGTGCTGCTTTGGCTGCCAAGGGCGAGAAGGTTGGACCCACTGTTCTCTTCTTCGGTTGCCGCAAGAGCGACGAGGATTTCTTGTACAAGGATGAATGGAAGGTAAGTTATTCGCTTTTCACAGATGATCTTGTTATTGGATGCTAACATATCGGGCACTCGCAGACCTACCAGGACCAGCTTGGAGACAACCTGAAGATCATCACCGCGTTCTCGCGTGAGGGTCCTCAGAAGGTCTACGTTCAGCACAGACTCCGCGAACACTCCGAGCTTGTCAGCGACCTCCTGAAGCAGAAAGCTACTTTCTACGTGTGTGGTGACGCCGCCAACATGGCTCGCGAGGTTAACCTCGTGCTTGGCCAGATCATTGCTGCGCAGCGTGGTCTGCCCGCCGAGAAGGGCGAAGAGATGGTCAAGCACATGCGTAGCAGCGGCAGCTACCAGGAAGACGTGTGGTCATAATTTCTCAATGCATCGAAGTTTCTTTCTTGTCTATCATGACGGCCTTTTCGATCCATTATTTTATTTCACGCCTAGATGATCTTTGCATATATACTCCGGTGATTTTGCCTATTCATCTGTTTTGCTTGGCGTGGTTCATGTATGCCTATTTTATTGTTTTGTGCACCGACCCGGTCAGCCACGCATGGCAGTGGCTGTGAATGAGTGCGGTAGCCAGCGTTGAAAGAACAGGATAGACGATCATGATTATTGCGAGAACTGGGCATATTGATATCTGGCTGCATGGGCCCAGAGGATACGAAAAGATGAATTCATAATAATTGCACGATAACGTCGCCTTTTTTTCTTTTATCTACTTAGTCAACTATCCGACTGCTGCTCGGAACACCCGACAGCGTGGAAGAGGGGAGTATACTAGTAGCAAACATAAAGTAGCCATGTAATCAAATGACCACAACCTTGATACCAATCCACACCTAGTAATACTTACCCACTACTAACCAATATTATACATTCATTCCCTTTTTTATGTTTTTATTTTTTTATTTTTTATTTTTTATTTTTTTCCCCCGTGATTTGAAAAAGCAAATGTTGAGAAAAAAAGAACACAAGAAATAATATGTAAGCCCACTCCACCTCGGCAATACCGGAGTTAAGCATAACCAGAACCGGCGCGCAACCAAATGGAACCCATCGTCATTCCCGGTATCGATCAGTACGACCTGGCTGGCTGGCTAGGCTGGGCTAGCTAGCCCGAACCCAAAGCTCCGCAATCATCCATCCATCCTCATCATCCCTCCCATTCCAATCCATCCCCTCTCTTCAAATACAACCACTCTCTTCTCTTCTCCTCAGAGCGAGGGAGAAAAATAAAATGAGATGCAGCAAATATTCCCACTGAATAAATAAATAAACAGGAGCTTGGAGAAATAAATACATTTCGCTTTTTTTTTTGACCGCTACGCACGGCAGTTCGTTCGTTTTCCCCGCAGTGGGCGAAAAAGCTGGACTGGGATCATCATCACGACGACGACGACGCTACGCAAAACCTCGGTACCATAGCTATACTTATACTGCATTTATTATAGGAATTGATAAATATTCTGCTGCGGAGATGGCTTACGTGGTGCCGATTCATCGGGCGAGTAGCATTCGGAATGCGCTCAAGTTGCATTTCTTGAATGCGGAGGAGGAGACTTTGGTTGTTGCGTTGGTGGTCCCCTTTGCCTTTCCTTTCCTATCCCTTTGCTTTGCTTGTTCGCAATGCTTGGTGATTTTTTTCATGTAGGAGTGAGGGATGTGTTTGCTGATTGGTGTTGTGTGTGTTGGAATTATAGAAAGGCGAATCGTCTCGAGATATACTCCCTTACGCCGGAAGGGCTGAACCTGGCAGCGTCATGTTCTCTCTTCGCAAAGGTTACTATGCTAGCTCGGCTTCCTGCGCCTGCGAACTCGCCTACGGATCATTTGTTTGTCGGGACGGATCGATACACTTATTGCACGTTATCGTGGGATGGGGAGAGGAACCAGATCCGGACGGAGAGGAACTATGTTGATATATCTGATCCTTCGTCGCGGGAGGCGCAGACGGGGAATCGGTGCTTGATTGATCCTAGCGGACGGTTTATGACGCTCGAGGTGTATGAGGGCGTGATCGCTGTTGTGCCGATTGTGCAGTTGCCCAGTAAGAAGAGGGGGAGACAGGTTGCTCCGCCTTCGGGACCGGATGCGCCTCGGGTCGGGGAGTTGGGCGAGCCGACGACGGCGCGAATTGATGAGCTGTTTGTGCGCTCGTCTGCCTTCTTGCATGTTCAGTCGGGGCCGCCTAGGTTGGCGTTGCTGTATGAGGATAACCAGAAGAAAGTGAGGCTCAAGGTTCGCGCGTTGCATTATAGTGCGGCGACGTCGAGTACAGGGGCCGATGCGGCGTTTGAGGAGTCGCTGGATGGGTTCTCGCAGGAATTGGACCTCGGAGCGTCGCATCTGATACCGGTTCCGGCGCCTTTAGGTTTGTGGTTCTCTTGTTGTGGTTCGTTGTTGCCTTTGGAATGATGCTGATCTGTTTGTCATATGCAGGTGGCTTGCTTGTTCTGGGAGAGACGTCCATCAAGTATGTTGATACGGACAGTAACGAGATTGTGTCGCGTCCCTTGGATGAAGCGACAATTTTCGTGGCTTGGGAGCAGGTAGATAGTCAGAGATGGCTTCTAGCTGATGATTATGGAAGACTGTTTTTCCTGATGCTAGTCCTGGATTCTAACAACCAAGTACAATCGTGGAAGCTGGATCACTTAGGGAATACGGCTAGAGCTTCAGTGCTGATATACCTCGGCGGCGGAGTTATCTTCGTAGGATCTCACCAAGGGGATTCGCAAGTTCTTCGAATCGGCAATGGCTCGTTGGAGGTCATCCAGACGCTCTCCAATATCGCACCCATCCTTGATTTCACCATCATGGACCTTGGAAACCGTACCAGTGAGAGCCAGACACATGAGTTTTCTTCAGGCCAGGCTCGCATTGTGACTGGTTCGGGCGCCTTTGATGATGGAACCCTTAGAAGTGTCCGCAGTGGTGTCGGCATGGAAGAGCTCGGTGTGCTTGGTGAGATGGAGCTCATTACGGACTTGTTCGGACTGCAGCTTGCGACAAAGGGTGGATACTTGGACACTCTTCTCGTTACCTTTGTCGATGAGACACGAGTTTTTCAGTTCAATTTTGATGGCGAGGTTGAAGAGTTGGACAGCTTTCTTGGTCTCAGCCTTTCAGAGAACACACTCCTCTCTATGAACCTTCCTGGAGGAAGAATCTTGCAAGTCACCGAACAGAGAGTACTCATCGCCGATATTGAAGGCGGCATGGTCACCAATGAATGGACCCCGCCAGACCGATTAGTGATCACTTCTGCTTCTGCCAACAATGATTCGATTGTTCTTGTCAGCGGCGGCCAGATTCTGACAGTCTTCGATATCAACAATGATGTTCGGGTTGTGGCTCAGAAGGATTTCGGAGCAGACAGCCAGATCTCAGGAGTCACGGTGCCCTTATCTTCGGCTGGGGTCTGTATCGTTGGCTTCCCTCAATTAGCGAAGGTCTCGGTTTTGGACCTTGGCCGGCTATCGGAGCTTCATACAACGTCGTTGGGCCCGGCTGGTGAAGCATTCCCACGATCAGTACTCGTCGCCGACGTCCTTGCGAATAGCCCCTCTACCCTCTTCATTTCGATGGCAGATGGCAGCGTCATCACTTATGCCTTCGACGCCAGTGACTACTCACTGACCGGGATGAACCGGCTCATACTTGGGTCTGAGCAGCCTACCTTCAAAAAGTTGCCTCGCGGCGATGGATTGTATAATGTCTTCGCCACATGCGAGAACCCCAGCTTGATATACGGCTCCGAAGGCCGCATCATCTACTCTGCGGTCAATTCGGAGGGTGCATCTCGGGTATGCCACTTCAACTCGGAGGCATATCCTGGTTCGATTGCCGTGGCCACCAAACACGACTTGAAGATTGCTCTTGTGGACAAGGAGAGGACAACACAGATCCAGACGCTTCCTATGGGCGAAACTGCCCGTAGGGTTGCATATTCGCCCTCTGAAAAGGCTTTTGGTATCGGTACCATCGAGCGCAAATTGAAGGACGGAGCTGAGATGGTCCAAAGTCGGTTTGTGCTAGCTGATGAGATTATGTTCCGTCGTCTCGACGCCTTTGGTCTTCGACCGGAGGAGCTGGTTGAGAGCGTCATTCGTGCGGAGTTTTCTGCGGGTAAGGATGAGAATGGTCGCGACGTATTCAAAGATCGGTTCGTTGTTGGCACAGCATACCTGGATGATGAGAATGAAGAGTCAATCCGAGGCCGGATCTTAGTCTTCGAGATTGACAACGGTCGGAAATTGACTAAAGTCGCCGAGTTGCCTGTCAAGGGTGCATGCCGCGCGCTGGCTATGCTAGGAGAGAAGATTGTGGCCGCTCTTGTGAAAACGGTAAGCTTCTGGATATCTTCGGCTGTGCTCCTTCCACAAAGCTCATATGGTTCAGGTCGTCATCTATGGGGTGGTGAACAACGACTTTGGTGCGATGAAGCTCGAGAAGTTGGCCAGCTACCGCACATCGACCGCCCCCGTCGACGTCACCGTAACGGGTAACGTGATTGCCGTCGCCGACCTTATGAAGAGTGTATGCCTGGTGGAGTACAGTGAAGGCGAGAATGGAATGCCGGATAGCTTGACAGAAGTCGCTCGTCATTTCCAGACCGTTTGGGCCACTGGCGTTGCCTGTATTGCCAAGGATACATTCCTGGAAACTGACGCTGAAGGTAACTTAATTGTCCTTCGACGCAATCTGACCGGTGTGGAGGAAGACGACAAGCGCAGACTGGAGGTAACAGGGGAGATCTCGTTGGGTGAGATGGTCAACCGCATCCGACCGGTCAATATTCAACAATTGGCGAGTGTGACGGTCACCCCGAGGGCTTTTCTGGGCACAGTATGAATCCCATCCCAACCGCTTGAGTGCTGAACACCTATGACTAACACATATGATTTCCCTAACAGGTGGAAGGCTCCATCTATCTCTTTGCTATCATCAACCCAGAGCATCAGGACTTCTTGATGCGTCTGCAGGCAACCATGGCGGGCAAGGTCGAGTCGCTGGGGAACATTCCATTCAATGAGTTCCGTGGTTTCCGCAGCATGGTGCGAGAGGCGAAAGAGCCGTATCGCTTTGTGGATGGCGAGCTGATTGAGAGGTTCCTGACCTGCGAGCCGAGTCTCCAGGAAGAAATTGTGGACTCGGTGGGCATGATGAACGTTGATGAAGTAAAGATTATGATAGAAGCCTTGCGCAGGCTACATTGAGTGTGGCAGCTAGGATCTGAAGAGAAATAATGATTAGTTATGGTAAGATGAGGTTCGCAACTTGCACTGCCGTATCTGCACATGTTCATTGCTATGCTTTGCAGCACCACTTTCTTGGACTTGGAATAACTAACCTGCATCACATCAAAGGCTCGGCAGCGATGTGTGAATCACACAGAGACCTTGGTGACCATGATCCGGACCAACAACCCCCCGCTTCATAAGGCTTTAACTTATTCCTCTACTAGCTTGTTAAACAGTCGTGCTCCAGCGGATCTTTCCAACTCTATACTTGACCCGCCTGACTGTGATCCACCAGAACAGCTACAGACCCGCAAATCTCCGCTTAGAAGTGCGAATGAAACGAAAGGGAATGAAAACTGTGTTGCAGTCCGGACTTCATCTCGCACAATCCAGAGTGGATTCTTGGTCTATACTGTTTGCTCCGCTGTCGGGTCCATAACCCCGCGTAGATCTATTCTTGATAGAATTCTTGTTCTCTTCCGCATCTCTAATCCTTCCCGTAACCGGATAGCTATAACCCGTCTCATCCTATACCAGCCATCAAAGTATTCCCAATAGGCATGGCCAACATGAACCATTCAGTCTTTGATGACCAGAACGGGTCTGGTAACCCAGGATACGTCCAGGTTCCTGACGCGTCATTTCATCGACTCCGCCGGAAGGAAAGTGGTGCCTTCAATGCTCCTGCCCAGAGTGGCTTCCACTCAACACACTCTTCCAGAAAGGCAGTTGCTACGAACATCGACCTTCTATCGATGTCGACCCCTCTTCATCCTTCTTCAGCTCCCACATCATCTTCACCGTGTTCCAGTCATTCGTTGCGTACTGGCTTACTCCCATCTTCCCTAGCTACTCTATTATCGTGTATGTTATGTTATCTGGGGGTTTGGATCTTGCTTCCTATCTAACTGCCGCTACAGATCCCAACTCCCCCGATCCACACGGCTATTCTGCTGGTTCAAGTAAGTGTTAATCCCTGTTGGTCTGAAGCAACCTATCTTGTGTCGACGTCCATCTCATTACCTGCCTTTTTGGTGCTCAAACCCAACATCACTAACAATTACTGCAGAGATTGACTCGCATAGATACGGCACCATGCATACTGCTGTTTCTGAATCCGCTCAGGCTCCTGATACTCGTGGACTGTCCACTCTGCTTGGGGGCTTGAACATCCAGGGTCAGCGTCCCGGGGCCAAGTACAATGGTCTCAAGAGCAACATGCCGCTAGCTGTGCCTCCTTATAATCCCCTTGTTCTTCTCCCCAATGGAGCTTTCTTCGGTGGTCTTCCTTATGATCAGAACCCGTATCTACCCCCCACTGGCATCTATCCGGGCTTAGCTTCCCCATGCCCAGTGGTTCCCAGCCCTGCAGGAGACTTCTACCATGGAGCCACCCCGAACCTGGAAGGCCCTGGACTGCCTAGCTATGGTTATAACAGCTTTCCCCAGTCGGGACCTGCATGTCTACCTTTCCAGATGATGAAGACTCCTACTGGATACATCCTTCAGGATCTGGAAAGCCTAACCCAGCAAGATCCGCCGATTCCACGGGCTGTGCCTGCTATGTGGACTAACCCTTCTGAACTGACCCTTGCCAAGTGCCTGGAAAACCGGGAGGGCATTACCAACGTCTACATTCGAGGCTTTCTTCCAGAGACTACGGATGAGATGCTGCATGCCTATGCCTCTCGCTTTGGAAAGATAGATCGATGCAAAGCAATTGTGGACTTGGATACAGGCCTTTGCAAAGGGTATGCAAGAGCCTGTTCCACGGCTGATGAGATATATGCTGACTGCACTCATAGGTTCGGCTTTGTTCAGTACTACAACTTTGAGTCTTGTGAAAACTGTATTCGCGGTTTCTTCTATCTTGGCTACCAGGCTAGCTTTGCTCAGGTATAGTTCAGGTTACCAGTCATCATACCATTGAAACTAACAATTCCAGAAATCTCGCAACTCCCGTCTCAAGGACCTTGAAGACAAGTCATCCACTAACATCTATTGTACCAACATTCCGATTGAGTGGACAGAGGCCGTAAGCAGCAAGCTCTAATAAGGAACCATCCAAATAAAGTTGACCATAACTACAGGATCTCCGTCATCACTTTGAGCCGTACCATGTCATCTCGGAGAAGATCAGCCGTGACGAGAAGACTGGAGTGAGCAAGGAAGTTGGATTTGCCCGGTGAGTAGTTGTTACCGAAACACTCGGATGAAAGGTATGAACCTTGGACTGATGACCTCGTACTAGGTTTGAATCCCGTGAAATCGCTGAAAAAGTCCTGTCTGAATATCATAATGCGGTTGCCAAAGACGGTGTGAAGTTGCTTCTTCGCTTCGCCGACACTAAGGCCCAGAAACTTCTCAAGCAGCAGAGTAACGAGCGCCGCGCCTATCGTGCTGGCGAATACAATTATTCGGTCGAGGTAGTTCAGGGTTCCACTCCATCGCCTTCTATTAACCGTCTTCAGCAGACTGCATCTCACCTCAGCCCCAATTCGCAGGGTAGCTATGTGTCACCTGTTGGCATGGGCGCAGCTTGGACTCCTGCTACATCCATCTCCCCATCGTATGCACTCATGAATTTAACCCCGTTCGGGCTCTACTGACAGGACAAGCAGGTATTTGGCGAAGAGTCAGGCTAGCAACATGAGGTTCAACTCGTGGACTTCCCGCAATGGACCAGGAGGTCTGGAGAATACACCTTTGTATCGTGGACGACGTGGAGTGTGGAATGAAAATTCCTCGGGCTCTTCCTCCAAGGCCAATTTCGCCACTCCCACCGCGTCCTGCGTTGAATCTCGTTCCGAACGATCCAGCCCTCGTAAGGAGATTAAGGCAGGATCCTTGTCTCCGATTTCCTCTCGCAGGGAGGTTATTGTGACTTCGCCTCGGTCGGTTGTCTAAGTGATGCTTGGATTGCAGCACCGTGGAATCGAAGTGCCCCAAGTCCTCCATACGTACGCATCCTCTCTCTTCCTAATGTTTCCTTCAAACACCAAGTGTTGCAACTCTCAGGAGCGACTTTTGGTATTTGCAGGGGTCGCCTTTTTGCCCTTCCATGAAGCATCTTCGACGAACACAGCAGGCTGTCCAGCTAACTGTCAGAGCCCGCATATCTTACAATGGTGCATGGTTGACTAACATATGATTTTGTTTCCCCCTTTTAAACTGTTGCCCATTTCGAAGTTTTGTGCTGATTTCGAGCTTTTGTAGGTTGTATGGGTTTTGTTATCTGTTCTTGATTTCTTGATGACACCAGTGATTCTATGATTCGCAGAGTGATGCCGATTTAAAGGTCTGTATCTGTTACCGCTGGACCCTGGAGGCCAAAGGTTTGCGGCGAGAGGGAATTCACAGGTTGGGAGGACATAAGTGGTACTTTAGCATTTGCCTAGCCATGCATGTTTAGCTCTTAGCATCAAGTTATCAGCGCAGTCTACAATTTGTCAATGGAAAAGCGTTATGCAACTGCGACCATCACGGTGCCGAATGTAAGCCAAACAAGTTGAAGACATGCAGCCAGTGTATGCATCTATCGGGATAGTAATGGTGAAACACGAGAGAAGAGAGTGAAACGCTCAGGAGTGACATGCGGGGAAACACATCGGTATTGGAGGGGAGGCAAAGAGTACATAGGGTCTGACTCCAAAACAGGTCTATACACGGAGAAGGGAGCATTGAGCGGACGACGAGTATCCTCGACTCAGACAACAGCCAAAACCAACATCGACACTACCACAGACAATCAATTGCGTCCCAACCGCTCCTCCAAATCCTCCGTCAACTCATAAGCCGGCTTATACCGCCCCTCCTCCACCCCCTCCCCAGCATCCTCACCATCCACCTCGACCCTCAACTTCGGATTCGGATGCGTATCCGCAGTACCCCCCAAACTCGTATACCCTCTATCATAAAGCCCACAATACCTCAACCCCAAATGGCGAATAAAGGCCCAAATCTCCGCATAATGCCAATCAATGACAGGATGCACGCGCACAAAATCCGGCCAGCCACTATCCGTGCGATCGAAATGGGTCAATTTGGCACCATGAGGATCCGTCCGTCTCGTTCCAACAAAAATCGCTTTCACTCCCGGGTTGACGAACAGGTAATCCTCAAAGGTGGATTTGATTGTTGAGCGCGGCGGGTCCGTCGTGTACTTGAGTACGTTGAGATGGTATGCGCGGGCGGACCATTGGACGAATTCCTCGACGTCTGGGAAGGGGTCCGGCGGGAGGGCGTAGATCGCGGGGATGGAGGTGAGGCCGCCGTCTTCGGGGGCGGGGTGGGGGTGGAGGCTGGCGAGGAAGAGAACGAGGAGCACGAGACAGTCTTTGCCGCCGTTGTAGGAGAGGGAGAGCTCGTTGAGAGGGTACCGGTGGAGGGCGGTGGAGATGACGTTGAGGGAGGTGCGGGTTTGATGTTGGACTTTGGCCAGGAGGGAGTCGGCGGGGTGGGATTCGGAGAGGAAGGTGTGGATTTTGGTGTGGCAGTGGGTGATTATGCTGGATAGGGAGGGAGTTGTTGAGGGTGGGAATGTGTTTGTGGTGGTTGTTGTGTCTGTGGTTGAGGTTGTTGGTGGTGGTGTTGATGTGGTGGTGGGAAGGCCATTGGGGGTGGGTGGTATTGAGTCGGTCATGGTGGGTAATTGATTGATAGATTGTCGTTGTGGGAGAGTGTTGATATGTATGTATATATATATGGCGAGAAAAGGAAGAAGGGAAGGGAAGGAGTGAGGTTGAGGTGGTTGAAGTAGTACTAGTTAGTAGCTAGGGTATGGAGTGGATGCGATGACTCGCGGGGGGGAAAGAGAGGGATTGATGTAAGCCGGTTGGCTGTGTGGTTTATCTGTCGGTAAAGGGTCCGAGGTGCAACGCAAGGGTGGATGTCTTTTTATCGGACGAGAAAGGTAAAGATAAGAGGGACAATTATATAGGGATGAGACACATGCAATTCCAAACAATTCTCAAAAATGCAGCTCTCAGACACGACGGATGATTGCGGAGAGGCCACATGAACCCGAGCGATGGAGGGGAAGATAATAAAAAAGGCGCTGGAATGTTCTTTCTGCCCCGCATCTGCCTTGACCGCTTTCTTATCGCGGCTGATATTATTACTTCTATGCAGGAAATCAAGTAAACAGCAGAGTTTATATTCGAGTGGATGGCATTGCATGTCAAGACTAGCTTAAGGGCTATGGTAATGTAACAGCAGCTACTAATTATCAATGGTATGAAAGAACAGTAGTGGTAAATAGCAATATAATCATGGTGATGTTATAAACACCAGTCCGTCCCGGGTGCAAATATATCCGCTCAACGCCAGTTGACCAAGTTGAAATACTTCTACCACTGCAAGTCTTGCAGGCAACTGGCACACCTGCCCAGTCTTACCCCAATACCTTCATCTTCTTTTTCTTCTTCTTGTCCCCATCCTTCTTCACCCCCTTCTGCCAATCTCGCCAGCTGCCTATGCGCTCTTCACGGCTATCTTCCCACGCTTTATCCTGGTCCCGTTTCCGCTTCCGCGCCTCCAACTCCTCTTCTTCCTTGCGCCTCTCCCGACCTTCTTCCTGAAGCTTGGCCTTGGCTTGTCTTCGCCGCCGTGCCTCCTCTTCTAAGAGTACCTGCACTGTCTTTTGGCGCCATTCTTTCTTAAATTCGTCTGTCTTTAACTCTTCCGAGTCTAGCGAGTACTTGTGTTCGCGGATCAAAAGTCGTCGCGCGTCCGCGATACATTCGTCTAAGTATGTGCGCGACTTTTCGTCCATAAGCGCCGTGTGCGCTTTCTTGAGGCGATCAAAAGCATCGGGGGCGGCCGGATTCTTCGTCTTATCGGGGTGGATGAGAAGGGACTTTTTGCGGTACTGGACTTTAATGTCGGATTCGGGGACACCTGGTTGGAGATCAAGGACCGCGTAACTGATAGAATATTCCGTCCGTCAGCCTCTTCATAGGTCTATAGCAGCATGCAGTGTAGGTATAATAGGTGGCCGGTAACTCACGCGTCTAAGGAGAACGCCTTCCGAATGCGGTCAATTTCTGCATCCTGTCTAAAGTTAGTCTGGGTGTCATTGTAGTGGAAATGTTCCGAGGCAGCATACCTTGACAAAGTCAGAGGCTTCACGCTCAAGCGCGTCCAAAGCATCTTGCTCATCGTCGGCCATGGTGACAGAGGTTGGGGAGTGAATGAAGGAATTCGCCGGGTCGGGACTGTCGCATGGCTGCTGAAAGGCACACGCCGATAAGCGCCGTCTTATCGCGGCGATGAGTCAGCAGGAACCCGCGAGGTTAAACTCCGAAGAGAAAAAAGTTGCTTCACCGCCCGCGCCTTTCTTCGAGATTCGCTTTCTCTCCCCAGCAACCAGTCCACTTTCGTTTTGTCTGCTTTCCTTCGTTGGTGCTCATTAACGTGAGTATTTTATCTGGACGAGCCCATCATGGCTCCGATGAACGGCTCCCGCAATGGCAAACACTCAAAGGCTCAGCGCGGCGGTAACCTCAAGCGCAAGCGTGTCCAAGAAGATTTGAACTCTCTCATCAAAAGGGTCGAAGATTTGGATGTCAAGGAAACCATCGGACAATTCACCGATCTGCCTTTGTCTGAACCCACCGCGTCCGGACTTGCCTCGTCTCACTACAAAACCTTGACCGATATTCAGTCCCGTGCGATCAGCCATGCGCTCAAGGGCCGCGATATTCTTGGTGCCGCAAAGACGGGAAGCGGCAAAACGCTGGCCTTCCTGATACCCATCCTGGAAAACCTATACCGCAAGCAGTGGTCGGAGCACGATGGATTGGGTGCTCTGGTCCTGTCTCCTACCCGCGAACTCGCGATTCAGATCTTCGAAGTCCTCCGTAAAGTCGGTCGCTATCACACGTTCTCCGCCGGTCTGGTTATTGGTGGGAAGAGTCTGCGGGAGGAGCAAGAGAGGTTGGGACGGATGAATATTCTGGTGTGTACGCCTGGTCGTATGTTGCAGCACTTGGATCAGACTTCGTTCTTTGAGACGCACAACCTGCAGATGCTCGTGTTGGATGAGGCGGATCGCATTCTGGATATGGGTTTCCAAAAGACGGTGGACGCCATTATCGGTCATCTTCCGAAGGAGCGCCAGACGTTACTTTTCAGTGCTACACAGACGAAGAAGGTGTCGGACTTGGCTCGACTGAGCTTGCAGGACCCCGAATATGTGGCTGTTCATGAAACGGCCTCCTCCGCGACGCCGTCCAAGCTTCAGCAACACTACGTCGTTACGCCCCTTCCACAGAAACTCGATGTTCTCTGGAGTTTTATTCGCAGCAACTTGAAGTCCAAGACGATCGTGTTCCTGTCGTCAGGAAAGCAGGTGCGCTTTGTCTACGAATCCTTCCGTCACATGCAACCCGGTATCCCGTTGATGCACCTCCACGGACGGCAGAAGCAGGGTGGTCGACTCGACATTACAACCAAATTCTCATCGGCGCAACATGCGGTTCTGTTCGCCACTGATGTTGCTGCACGTGGTCTGGATTTCCCGGCCGTCGACTGGGTTATCCAGCTTGACTGTCCCGAAGACGCTGATACCTACATTCACCGTGTTGGTCGTACAGCAAGATACGAGCGCGATGGTCGTGCCGTGCTCTTCCTGGATCCTAGTGAGGAGAAGGGCATGTTGAAGCGTCTGGAGCAGAAGAAGGTTCAGGTCGAACGCATCAACATCAAGGCCAACAAGCAACAGAGCATCAAAGATCAGCTGCAGAATATGTGCTTCAAGGACCCCGAGTTGAAGTACCTGGGCCAGAAGGCCTTCATCTCCTACGCCAAGTCGGTCTACGTTCAGAAGGACAAGGAAATCTTCAACATCAAGGAGCTGAAGTTGGATGAGTTTGCGGGTAGCATGGGTCTTCCTGGTGCACCCCGCATCAAGTTCATCAAGGGTGACGATACCAAGGAGCGGAAGAACGCGCCCCGTGCTACGGCATACCTTTCCAGCGATGACGAGTCTGGCGAAGAGGGCGAGAAGAAGAAGACCAAGAAGGATGAGACGCAGGTGCGCACGAAGTATGATCGCATGTTCGAGCGTCGGAACCAGGACGTGTTGGCCGACCATTACCACAAGCTTATCAACGATGACGGCACGATTGTGGAGACAAACCAGGCTACTGCCGATGCGGATGAGGATGACGACTTCCTGTCCGTCAAGCGTCGCTTCGCGGCCGGAGACAAGGACCTGGATGTCGCAGGATCTAGCTCCGAGGATGAGGAGGATGCAGAGGACGGAACGGAGAAGAAGGGACCCAAGGTGGTACACCTTGATGGCAAGGATGCCCTGGTCATCGACTCTAAACGTCGTGAGAAGCTGCTCAAGTCGAAGAAGAAGTTGCTCAAGTTCAAGGGCAAGGGTACCAAGCTTATCTACGATGATGAAGGCAACGCCCATGAGATCTACGAAATGGAGGATGAAGAACAGTTCAAGGCCAAGGGCGACGCCAAGGAGCAGCAGGCGAAGTTCCTGGCGGAGGAGGCGGAGCGCACTCGGCAAGCGGATCTGGAGGACAAGGAAGTCGCCAAGCAGAAGAAGCGCGAGAAGAAGGAGAAGCGCAAGGCCCGCGAGCGCGAGCTTCTTGCCATGGAGGAAGAAGGAGTGGATTTGGTCCAGATTCCGTACAAGGAGGGCGGGCTCGCCTCAGACGAAGACGAGGAAGTCCTCCGGCCCAGCAAGAAGGCGCGGGTTTCCTTTGCAGACGAAGCGAGCGAGGAGGAGCCCAAACCCAAGAAGGCCAAGAAGTCTCAACCGGCTGGCAAAGCACCGGAGCAGATCGAGACTCTGGAAGATCTGGAGTCGCTGGCTGCGGGCTTGCTGGGGTGATTTTGAAGTGTATACATTATTATGTCTTTGGTGGATATATCCCTTTCTGTCTCAGTTTTCTTTCATTGTTCATCAGCGGAGAGTGTCAAAAGTTTATGAGATTCCGGCAGCATAGCCATGTACATAGCACGATACAATCATCCTTGGGGGAATTTTCTTGACTGATTGAATGAATGTGGTGATATGTAGTGAATATAATAGATCAAAGCTGCCTCTTTGTAGTTTGTACTATGTATGGTTAAAGTTAGCCGAGCGGGTGGAGAACCCCAGGCGGCAGTCGGCAAACCGTCTCTTCATCCCCAAAGGATTCCCTCGCCCTTCCATTCGTTGTACGTAACACCAATCGAGCACGCCATCCGCTAAAGAGCAAATTTTCAGCGTCAGGATGTGATGGCGACATGAGTGTCGTTCGCGGGGATGCACTCTTCCCTTTGATAACATCTATTTCGTTCATGCGTGCCATGCAGACACTACTGCTAGTATCTACAACTTAGATCACTAGTAGTTTCCAGCTGCCACTTTTGACGGCCGACTTTTGAGCTTCTCCACGGTGGATCACGTGGTGTCTCTCCTCCCAGTCTCCAACACTTGCCTAATCGGGAAGAGCTCAACTATAAGGCTGAGATTGACTGGTTCAAATCTCAATCATCGGTGAGTCTCGGCATACTTCCGATATCTCTCGATGCAGAACAACCCAGCTAAGCTAACATGGCCCCCTCTTAGCGTCTAGACCACCATCACCATGGGTGTTCATGACATCGAAAAGCAACGCCCTATGGCTCCTGGCGAGCCCATGGCTGAGCGTAATGCCAAGGACCCCAGCACCTTAGCTACCGATTATCTGGAGCCAGAGATTCCATATATCAATGCGAATAAGCTGGCCCGGAAGCTCTCTCCCCGCCAGGTGCAGATGATCGCCATCGGCGGCACCATTGGTACGGGGCTGTTCCTGGGAACGGGTAAGGCGCTGGCCACCGGTGGGCCGGCGTCGATGCTGATCTCGTATACCATCTGTGGTGTCATTGTGTTTATTACCATGTTGTCGCTGGGTGAGATGGCGGCGTTTATCCCTGTTGCGGGTTCGTTTTGTACTTTTGCTGGGTGAGTAGTTGGTCTTGAGGTTGTCAATGATGGCATGCTGATAAGGAACTAGTCGCTTTGTTGATGATGCTCTGGGCTTTGCTCTGACCTGGAACTACTGGTTCAATGATGCGGTGTCGACGGCGTCGGATATTATTGCGCTTCAGTTGCTGCTGGAGTATTGGACGGATAATTTCCCGGGATGGGCAATAAGCTTGATATTTTTGGTCGTGGTTATTGCGCTGAATATGCTGTCGGTCAAGGTTTATGGCGAGGTTTGTTACCGCTATCTAATGTGTTTTCATATACTGACTGTCTATCAGGTTGAATACTGGCTTAGTCTTCTCAAGGTGGTGACTATCATCGTATGTTTCCCCCTACTTCTACCAAATTTTTTACAACATACTAAATCAAATGCTAGATCTTCATCATCCTCGGCATCGTCGTCAACTGCGGCGCAAACACCCAGCATAAATACATCGGCAACAAGTACTTCTACACCGGCGAAGCCCCCTTCGTCGGAGGCATCGGCGGCTTCGCCTCTGTCTTCGTCACAGCCTCTTTCGCCTAGTACGTTACCCTCCCCCATTCAAACAACATCCGTACTAACAACTCCACAGCGGCGGCACCGAATCCATTGCCATCACCGCCGGTGAAACCAAAGACCCGGCCAAGAACCTCCCCCGAGTCGTCCGCAACGTCTTCTGGCGCATCATCCTCTTCTACATCGTCTCCATCGTCCTCATCGGTCTGGACGTCCCCTACAACTACCCGAACCTATCCTCCGAAACCACCGCGACCAGCCCCTTCACCATCGTCTTCGTCGAAGCCGGCAGTGCTGTGGCCGGCAGCTTCATCAACGCCGTGATCATGACCAGCGTCATCTCCGCCGCCAACCACGCCCTCTTCGCTGGTTCCCGTCTTCTCTACACCCTCGCCGTAGACGGCTACGCGCCACGATTCTTCGGCCACCTGAACCGCTTCCAAGTCCCCTGGGTAGCAGTCCTCGCCACCTCCGTCATCAGTGGACTCTGCTTCGGAGCGAGCTACATTGGCGCAGGCCAACTATGGTCATGGCTGCAGAAGTATGCCCATCCCCACCCACCCCATTCCATTCCATCCTAGTAATAAATACTCATGTTACTATGTACAGTATCGTCGGTGTCTCCAATCAACTCTCCTGGACTTTCATCGGCCTCGCCTCCCTACGCTTCCGCGCCGCCATCCGCAAACAGAACCTGGAACATCTCCTCCCGTACAAGAACTGGACGTATCCCGTGGGACCGATTCTCGCTATCGTCTTGAATGTCGTTCTGATTCTGGTGCAGGGTTGGTCCTGCTTTAGTCCGCATTTCAAGGCCGTGGACTTCGTCTCGTATTATATTGAGTTGCCGATCATGTTGGTCATGTTTTTGGTGTGGAAGTTGGTTAAGAGGACCAAGTTGGTCAAGTTGGAGGTTATGGATTTGGTTACGGATCGGTGGAATTTGGAGGTTGTGGGGGGAAGAGAAGTTGAGGAGGATGATGGGGTGGGTAGTAGTAATGGAGATGGGGATGGAGGGTTCAGGAGTGAGAAGGGGGTGGTAGGGAAGGTGAAGAGGGTCGGGATGTGGTTGTTTTTGTGATTATCCAATTTATTTATTTGTTTATTGATGGTATTGTTGGTTCGTTAGATCGGAGGAGGATGCTAGGTCCTCTGTGTAATAGATAATGATTATGATGACTATTGTATCTAACAAGATGCTTAAAGAACCAGAGCTTAAACTAACTCCGATACCCACATCACGACCAAGCAATAGTCCCAACACCGTAGTAACAAGACAACCAAAGATTCTCTCACACCAAACCCATCAATCAATCAATCAATCAAGCAACCCCTCCCACCCACTCATCTCCCCCAACACCCTCCTCACAAACCTCTCCAACCCCCCAGCACACTTAACATACACCGTGCCCTGCTCATTGAACAACCTACAATTCTCCAACACCAACTTCAAATCCCTCATCAACTGCTCCGGACCCTCATACTCATCCCTCTCCAACTTCTCCTCCATGGTCCCCAAATCCATCGGCTGCTCAATCACCTCATAATACTCCGGCACTTCGTCCCTACTCACGGGACTCAGAAACGGCCACGCCTGCTTATGATTCCTGATCTCGTTAAGGAACCGTCGCATCTCATTGAACTGGGGTCCGTGGCGGCGGTGTTCGCGCGAGAAATCGTCCATGCTTGGCGACCAGCCCGTTGCGAGAATAGCGGGGATAGAGAGGGGATTGGTTATGGGTGTGATTTTCACTTTCCATTGTTTAGGAGGTGCATGCACGATATGGTTCTTGCTTAGTGCGCGCATCTTCGCCAAGACCGTTTCTTTTTGCTTCAGTAGCATTCTCCCCGCCTCTAGATACCGGATCTTAGGCAGCATCGAACACTGCATTAGTGTCCCGCCTTCGTAGTCCTTGATATACCCCATCCAGGTTGCCTTCGGCAGGGTGATATCCTTGGTGAATCCCTGTTTTTGGAAATATCCTGTCGCGTAGTTGTCCGCGTACGTGAGAAAATGCATGACTGGCCCTGTGGCGCGCACATAGTCCTTTAGATGCGCCATGAGGTGTGCGCCGTACCCTTTTACTTGTTGGTGGGAGGTTACAGCGCAGAAGACTATTTCGGCGAATTGCCGTGTGCGAAACTCGCGGAAGGTGATGCCGCCGAGAACTTCTGGGGTTCCGGAGCCTTCATGGGGGTGACATTGTTGTTGTTGTTGTTGTTGTTGTTGTTTGATGATGGCGAGGGAGAGGTGGGTGCGGTCGAAGACGAGTCGGGTGATGTAGTCTTTGGGCATTTTGGGGAGTTGTTTTTGGAAGAGACATTTTAGCCCCGTGAGGATTATGGTGCTTTGGGGGTGGGAGTCGTTGTTCACCACGACGTAGGAGATTTCGTGGTTGCGTTCTTCGTTGATGGAGGGCTGGGCTATGTTATTCCATACTGCGTAGTACTATTGGGGGTATATATATATGTGGGAGGTGGGCGTGGGTCTAATGGTAAGTAAGTAGTAGTGACTCACCTTTTCTGGAAATGGGATGATCTGCAGGGATGTTGATGCTGCCTCTTTATCTCTGTCCGTGGACTCATCGTGTATATGCACATGAACGCTTTTGGTCTTTTTGGTTTCCCGGGCGGTGGTGGTATCTGGTTCTTCGATCGCGGTTCGCTTTATGCCGCTTGAGGCTGGGGAAGCCGATTGCGATGTGGGGGTGCCCATTGCTAGTAAATAGTATGTAGTCGGATATTATTTCCGATAAGTAAAAGTATTGATTTGTATATATGACTGCAATTCTGTGGAACGGTTCAACCCTGTTCTTCTCTATAATGTTGGGATGCTCTCTGTAGAGAGAGTGTTGCGGGCGCGTCCGAGAGCGGGTTGCAGCTTAGCCTCGTCAGTTGAAGATGACTTGTTGGGATTGAATGGTTGTTATAGCACAATAGGATATATGGGAATTGATATGATGTTCATAGGAACCTAGTTCAGTGAGAGTGTGTCGTCTGACGATGATCTGAGCGAAATAGAGCCAGGGATATAACATTACTGGCCAGGAGTCGGTGGTTGCAGCTCTCCAACTGGACAATGGAAGAGGACGAACACAGAGGCTGGCACATGATACATCATGTGATGGCAGAATACAAATGTCGAATACGTTTGTGTTGATTGGCCACACGCTCATAATTAGCTATCGCGATATCATACTCCATAAGTAGAAGGTGTCAACTAAGACATACATCAGTACAAGTCGTTAATTCCTGAACAAAAACTCATTTTTTACACCATAATTCTACAACACTAAGCAAAGTACCCCTTCCTGCTTAAGCTGTTTCCTCTGTCTTCGTTACAATCTCAGTAGTATGATGTCTCCTCCTCACTCTTCCTGAAGCATCATGCTCCCGATCCCATTCCTCCACCTGCGCCTTTGGCACCCTGACCAACTTATGCGCAGTCGCATCACCCCCGACATGGATAATCGTCTGACGAAGCTCGTAACCGCCTACCCGGGGGAGGATCTTGACCCAGAGGTAATAGTAGACTCCGCAAGCGGCGATACTATCGATGTGATATGTTATTAGCGATGCCGTTCCAAAATGATGAGACTGCAGGGGCTGTCAAACGGTAACTCACATTGCAATACCCACAACACAGTACGTCGCGTACCAGAAGCTGACGTCTCCACCGTCTGCTCCGGTGGACGGGGGGTACCATGGCGCAACGAGCATATACAGACTCGAGAGAATGGCAAAGTAGACGGATATAGTCCAGGCTCGGTAGCCGGATGGAGGGAAGTTGAGTCGCTGCCGCCGGTGTCGAGTGATGAGGATACCTATTGCCAGAAGGAAGTTGAAAGCGTTGGAGGGATAGATGCTCAAGTCGACGACTAATTTATAAATTAGGTAAGTGCGAACCGGTAGTAGGCAGGTACGTACTGAAGTTGAAGGCATCTCCAGCCGGAGGCGCGATAATCATGATGACTGTGAGTGCCCACTTGAGGAAGTAGGGCCCTAGGGGCGTTCCAAATGGACGAGTAGAAGTCCAGAATTCCGTAAAGGGAAGAACACCCTGTCTGTACGAGACACATGTTAGAACGACACCTGCTGATTTGATGGAATATGACATACCGTCCACACTCTCGCAACATACGGGACTGACCGATCAGCACAGCCAGAAGATTGCCCAGCGCGCTGAGACAGACCAAGACGTTTAGAGCCCTAGAAGCCCCTGATGTGCCAAAGACCTTTTCGAAGAAGAGACTCGCTGCTGTGACATTCGAATTCAGGATCTCCTCCTTGCTCGCAGCGGAGAAGTAGGCAATGTTGGCGAGGATGTAGAGCACGGCTGTAAGAAAGAGAGCAACAGGGGCACTCCAGCGAAGGGTCTTGACAGGATCCTATGATATAACCCGTTAGTGCAGTAACAACAGACACGAAGAATAGTCACCTACCTTAACCTCATTGACAACGTTGCAAGCATTCTCGTACCCGGCATACGAGAACATCACCTTGACCAAAGCATTGGTGGCACCGTACACCGATGCGCCAGAGGTTCCTGAGAAAGCATCACGGAAGTTGACCAAGGGGTCTTTCACTGGGGTATGACCTCCCAGGACGACGAGGCCAGCGATACCAATACTGCTTCGTCAGTCTCAATGAACTAGAGAGATGCTTAGTACACGTACAATATCAAAGTGACTAGCTTGACGACACCGATGGCATTGGCCACCCAAAGAGACCATTTCGTGTTGAAAGCCAGCACTGGCATAATCAGTCCAGTCCATAAATCCTCCCAGGGCAGAACATACTCAGCACGGCCACGGTGTATGCCGCCACAGCAACACCTTTTTCTTTCCATGCAGTTGTATTCGCGTCCGCAAGCTTGAACAGATATTCGGCAAGTACTGTAGTACAACCCACATTAGCTCTGAACATACACTGGCTGATGAGACATCATACCAACAGCATTACTGCTACTGAATGAGAACAGCACAGTCTGCATCGCAAAGACCGTCGGGAAGAAGTAGCGTGGTCTAGGATACGCCTGCTCCAGATATACGACTTCCGAGCCAGACCGACTGGGAAAATATGACACGAATTCCATGTACACGGAGAGCATGCTCGCCGCCATGAAGAAGCCGATGACCCAGTAGAAGAGACTCAGACCGACAGATCCGGCACCGTCGAGAACAGTAGATGCTTGATACGAGCATTTAGCATTGTCGTCCACACCCAAAGCTCAACTGGCCTCGGAAAGATGGCAGGAGTACTCACGCGTCGAAAAAACACCTGTTCCAATCATTTTACTCAAGTTCAGGAAAATAACCGTCACCGCACCTACGGAGTATCCCAGAGGTGACTTTGACTCGATTGGAGCACCACTCGCCTCCTGGTACGTGCGCTTGGAGGAGTTAGCACCCCCATCAACCGTATATTGTAGATTGCCATCGTCGATAACACTGAGGGTGTCGCTAGCCTGCTCCGAGGTCGCGCCCGCTTCCTCTGCTTTCGTTGTGAAGGGTAAGAAACCCATCGTGCAGGAGTATGTGTCGGAAAGTCAAATCTCCGCTCGTAAACAACCATATCCTAGACATACCCTGCAGCTCTAATATAGCTCTCTCAACGTCAGCGGACCTGGAACGTTGAGGTGGTACATGCACGATGCTCATTGCGGGATGCAATGGCGTGATTCTTGCCGGCGATTATCATGCATGCTTGGGGTGAAGATGACATGATAAGCTGGATGAGGTGCTTGATTAGCTTCCGATTTGCGGGGAAGAAGGGGCAATGTTAGTATTATGTATCTCGGTCCCTGTGGTTGGACAGCAAGAGTGTACCTGCTTTTATGATGGTGTTGAATGTGAGAACTATATCTGCATTTGTAACTTGGTTGAGATCAAGACGAACCATGGTTGCAAATTGGCTGACCTTGGTGATAGCATGAGAGTATTTGCTTAACTGCCGAGGTACATCACAGTAATGTTGAAAAAAGAAAATAAGAAGATGCTAGTCCAGTAG